GAAGGTGAAAGATGTTAGAAGCATGGGAAAGTTCACTTGCTGAACTTCAGAGCGCGCACCGTTGCAACCCTGAGATGCGGATTTGTACAAACGCGTTTGCGTCTTCCCGCCTTCTTATCAGTCCTGTGAAACCGTTTTAAGTGCATGGTGTACTCAGGATTAGTCAGCCCGATGGCTCCGATGCCTACCCTAAGAAAGGTTCTGTGCTGCCTAAATGGTTCTGGGGATGTGTAATTTTTCCTGGAATGATAGTGTGGACTGGATGCTGATACTTCCCGTAACCAGAGACTTTTCTGATAGCTCATAATAGAAGGTAATGGTATCCGGGGTCAGCAGAAGAAAGTAGGCCCAGAGAGGCAAAGCGAAGGAAACAAATTTTAGGTAAAATGAGGGAAGAGCGAAAAGGTAGAAAGCTATGGGAAAGATTAAAATGGATCAGGAAAAAGGAAGATAGAAGAAAGTGCTCAGAGAAAAGTTTACCATGAAAAATGGAAAAAAACGAAAGTAATCGCATTGGTAGTGAGGTGGTAGCCAGAGATGTAGGAAATCCAATAGGTGAGGTGGTGAGTGTATTTTAGTAGACCAGCAGGATATGGAGTCGTTTTGAGAAAGTAATAATGCTGGCAATGAGGTGGGATCGACATGAAGTGTACTGGAATTGTCAGGTTGATGCGGCTCCAGCCAACTGCCCAGGCCAGTCGGTGTTCAAACCGCAATCGTAGTGTCAATGCACATCTGTTCAAACGTCTCTCGAGCTATCTGATAGGTAAAAAAGCAAGTAAAACACTCCACTGAGCACAGACTCGCGGTGAAATATATGGCTGAACTTTGGTTTTCCCTTCTCTTTGGCTTTCCAGCCTCAGTTTCTTCTGAAGTTTCAGGAAGCATCGCTAATTGTTGCGGTCGTGAGTCCCGCGTTTTCATCACCACTCCACTTAGGGATGGTTTGATGGCCGCCCTCGAATGCCTTTTGGTGATAGCCAGGTTAATCAGTCCCAGAGATAATAACTTGATCAGATGATCATTTTATTCATCACTATACATTTCTCAGTGAATATTTAATGCCTTCTCGTCGGCTTTCATCCAAGGATTTCTGAGGTGACCCGTTCCAAACGGAGTGAGACGATAAGGGATTACATGTGACGGCCAGATTGAATAAGCAACAAAGAACTCCTGCCCGACAGCCAACCAACCGACCAACAACCCCTCGCCCAACAAATATGCAGCAGAAAGTGGAGACGGTCGGGCATACACTGAGAAGACCATTTGAGGATATCACGCGCCGGGCCCTCAAGTGAAACGCAAGTGGAAAATGACATGCTGGGCAGGCGTGGGTGACGTGGAGGAGATAGTGTGAAGAAGAAAATAAGCCCCTGCGGAGTCGTGGGGGCAGGTTCAGAAGACTGAAGGGGACAGAGTGAAATGGCGACATGCTACTGAAGCCTTATGTTCCACCAGGACCCCAAAGGACAAATGATAATAGTGATGAAACTTGAAACTGCATTCAAGCATTTGCCATATATGTGGAACAAGATTGCACTTAGAAGCGGGTGCACCATTTGTAGAGTTTGTTGTCGGATAAATCCGCGCAACGCTGTAGATATCCAGTAAGTGTGGACTTTTAAATTCAAAAAGATGTATTTGAACTGATTTGATCGGCTTTCCGGTTGTCGTCCTCTGATACCGTAGCAAGTATAGAATATCTGTGTATCACCAGGGAATTTACTCCCACACCAACCTAGCCACCGGTCAACATTAACCTGTTTTCCGATGGAGCACAGGTTTTGTGCATCCCTTCAGTGCACAGCCTGAGATTATCGGGAGGAGGAGATTAGAGGTGGTCATAGCGACAGTGATAAAAGCAGCTGTGTGCCATCCATAAAACATGAGGAGCAATGGAACCTCACCGGTAGCGCGGTCAATGAGGTGATAAACCTTGTCGATGTCTCGTAGCAGTTGTTAACATAGTGGAGTAAAACGTATCGCAGGAGGCCGGGTGGGTAGAAAACCAAGTGACAGATTCTGCAACACTTATCATGTATGCAGATCCGAAATGTGGAAATCACTAGCCATGCATAGAAGGGGTAAAAAAACTAGGTTTGGGGGACAAAAACGCCTGGTTTGGACGAAAATGTTTGGTGTTGGTGAAAAATGGGAAGTATTCTTGATGTGTAATCTATTACTCCCATCAAACCGTCAATCGAGCCTATTTGTGATATTTCAGAAATCCCAACAACACAATGTCTTTTGCCTGGTTTTACGCTGTTATAACACCATTTGGAAAGACCCCGGACTCGGTATTTATTCTAACCCCATCTTTCAAAGTTCTGAAACGAGGTGCCTAGTTATTGTGCGTAACTTCGGGCTCTCAAAACAATGTAACTACAAAGTTTTCTCCCAAAGCTTTCTGTTTTTCAGAAACTACATGGCTCCTATGTTTGTTTGTATGGTTACTTTTCTTTCAGATGAACCCTTAATGACGTCCCGGAGAAGTGATTATCAAATGTAGAAATCAAGAGGATGTAAATATCACTCATGTGACCGTGGCTGTTGCGCAATCCCCCAGAATTCCAACAACGCATATGGTTGCGATGCATATTTGTGTCACCTTTTGAAACGACGACGTTTGACATCACAGAGAGTATTGTGCTCTACAGTACCATTGCAGACACGTGGCGGCCACTCTAGCACGACTTCATGACTAAGTGGAAATATTCACCATGCAAAAGACCAGATACCCGACCTCAATCATCACGTGAAAAACAGGTATGGGCCAGATGCCCGAATTTAAATCACCGTAGTGACACGCTTCAGTTTGTGACCTGACAGATTAAATCAACGCCAGGGGAGGTGGCGAAAACTTCGATTCGGCCGAAACAATTTGATTTAATGGAATGAGCAAGTAAAAGCAAACTATGACAACCGAAGTAAGGCTTATCGTATGTTTCGAATCAGTGTGCCATGTCGCCGAAAGTCGCTTTCACAATCTTCTGTGGGCTTATCAGTTGCGTCCTTTTTAGTGATGTTGACGACTGATATGTCTTCACAGAATTCCGACCGGCTATAACCTCAAGGTTGCGTTTCGCACTTTGGTAGTCTATCGCGTTCATACATATATATGACCGTTCGCTGCATGATCAAATCAGGCTATACTCTTGTCCTTTCAGGAATCTGTGCATTTTCTGCTACTCTTCAAAACGGTTTTGATGCTGTGTTGCTAGGCATAAAAACATTCATTAGTTGGCAACACCTAATCCAGGTGATGACATGAATGGCAGGGGTGCTCCCAGACTTCCTGTGTATCTCAAATATTCACTTTATAATTAACACGTATATTTCCATCTGGTTAAAATGTAGAGTTGGAGAGATGTATCAAAGTTCCACTCCAGTAAAAAAATCATTCAAGCACTTCCGAAAGTGAAAGCTGATTTTCTTGTAAAGCATGGGCACAGTTCATCGTTGGTGGAGCGTTGGATTTGCCAACTTCAAGTCAAGCGTGTTCGAAACATTTGAACGTTCACCAAGCCACCTTCTCATTCTTATTTCTAGATTGCGCTTTCACGAGCCCTTCAGAGTCAAAAGAAAACGTGAACACGCTGTTACCTAGAAATTTTTCGTTGTCGCTATTACTTATCCAGACGTCTAAAGGCATTATATAGGTAAGTTTTAATACAAACCTCGTGTGTTTGGAAAATAGAAAACAAGATTTTTCTGAACGTTTCGCTCCATACGCCACAGATTTTCCAGCTGAGGAGGTCTTACAAGCATAATGAATCAACCTTACTCGGTGCTGAACTTCTTTCAGGACATTCGTAACAACCATGGTCTGGATGTTTATAATCTAAAAACATTTTTCTTTGATCAAACAGTTATCTTTGGATGTTGATCCAAAATAAAAGACTCGTCCTGTACACAGTTCATTTATTTAGCCAACTGTCTCACTGACTGTATTTGGCTTTTACGTGGACAACTTCAATACACTGTCAGTGATAATCAGTCTTTAGACGTAACCGTTAATTTACTGTCATGTTCCAGTCAAAATTACTTTCCCGCCAAACCATTCACATGTATGAGAAATCCATGGACTTTCGCCAGTAGCTGCTATGATAATTTACTCAGCTGGCACATTGGAACTCCATAATGGGCAAAATTAAAACTCATTATCTTCTGCTAATGTCACAGTACCCACATCGGTACTCTCAATATTAATACAAGCTTCATTCAGACATTAGCTGACTGGGGGTGTAAAGGGATAAAAAGTGGTGTGGCTCGCTCTGACGACTTTTAAAAAAATAAGTGAACCTTCCCTGTCTGGAAGAGTGGTTCCACCTCCCTCGAAGAGCGTATTCAAGGAGTAACCAGATCTTCACGGAGTGATTTACGTCAGTGGTTAAGACAAGAGAAATCAGCTTTCTATCCTTATCAGTGAAGACTGAAAAACATGAATGGATGTCTAATGCCTGTGGTGATTTGCAAGGAAAAAACACAATTCTACTATTTCCCATATTCGTTACATCTCAATCATGAGAAACTATAAAAAGTATGATAATCAAGGTGTAGAAAACAAACGGTAGATAATCGATTCTTAAAAATGTCTAGGTGGGTATGTAATGAACAGGTGATGCTAAATTTTCATATTACCTGTTGGCATTTTATTGCAGAGTAGTGAATAAAAAAGCTTGTATTAGCTTGACAGCCGTAGTCCACTCATCTCGAGAATCTGGAGCAGGAAAGAAGAAGAGTACAACGTAAACCGACTACCATCCGAACACAATGAATTAATGTACTTTCAATAATAATAGGTAATCGAAAATATCAATCATGTGCACTGAGAAAAAAAGGCACTCCAGAAATTGAAATTGAAAAGTGATTTAGCTTTTAAATAAGTTGCCACAGGTTTATATGTCCTCTTATAACTACTGATATAGTAATTTCATTTTTCCGAAGAAACACTATTGTGTAAAACAAAAGAACGTTATCAGTTCCTCGTGACCTTCAGAGGAGATTCCACAATATGTCAACCTTCCTTCTGTTGGACCAATCACAACACTAGTATATGTTCGCCAGCGGTCAGTATAACTGTCCTGGTCTTGGTATTTAGTGTGAATTATCTACGTGTGGTAATTTGCTTGATGAACTCTTGGTATGTGTTGTGTCTTCATAGCTGCATTGTGCTTATATATTTGCTGAAAGTTTCGGTGACATGTCAAAGGGTTGAATCTAATGGTATATACCATATGTATGCATATGCATATATAGAAATTATAATTTGTACGCATACCATCAAATTCAACCCTTTGACAAACTATAGTTTGTAAAGATACTAGTGATTTGGACTGGTTTTAAAATAACAGTAAATCACTAATAAATGTCTGATCTACTGTAAGATTTGATAACATAGACAGTATATTGCTATTTACGAAATGTAACTATCGATAGGGGTTGATCCACTCAGAATTCTTAGCTTTATAGAATTATGACACGGAAATTAAGGATTCTTTTTATTTCCGGCTAAAGTACGAAACTTCTTGCAAAACAAATTTTCATTCAATTTCTTACTTTCGAAGACTTACAGCCTACCATCTACGCTTAAGAGGTTTATTACCATAGTAATAACACACTAGATGCTAATAGCTCAAGTTACTTATTATGAGACTATCATTATCATATCATGGACTTTGCAATTTTCGATCTATGAGCAATTTGGTTGCTTAAGGCCACTAATTGGTTTATTCATTTCAATGCCTATTTTGTCAGAGGATTTCTGCATGAAGTCACTCATAGGTAGTTTACAGGATCAAAGATAAACAAACCTTCAAGGCTGCGCATCAAGGACAGTATGTTTCATAGTAAATATAATATTACACATCAATTTTACAGTGCATCATACTCTCATGTGTATTCGACTTTTGTTCTAATGATGTCATAAGCTTGTCGATAAACTTTTACTTGAAATATCTCAGTCAACTCTTAAATTCTGTCTAATCTTCCGGGTTTTTTTCGTTTATTTTTTTTTGTTCGTCGTTTCAGTGCTTGCCTATATATATATATATTATATATAATATATATATATATATATTAATAATATATATTATATTGAAGTGTGCACATTTAAAGGGTGAATCCAGGTTTTATTTTTACTTGCCTAACACAACAGATATCTCGACATTTTGATTGAGAAGACTTTACTCCCTGCGAATCAAGGTGTGCAGTGTGACAACTACAACAAATGCTACCACTAAGTGTGTATCGACAGGTATCCTGCATAAAAGTGATTCAGTACACCAAGTTGTCACAGATTACTGTTCATCTGAGTTTGCTTTGATTCAGAAGACTATCGAGTTTGGTTCGGTAGTATCCTTTCAGACAGTAGGGAGCAAGCGTTTGATAGTTGTGAAGCCATACGCTCTAACAGTAGAATCACTAGCATCGTCCTATGGAAGATTTTGAAGTGTAGAGAGACAAGATTGACATAAGACCAGGCATTAATGCATAACGGTCCAGGTTGCCGTACCCCGAATATGCACATCAAGCAAAAATGCATTAAAATGAAAGATAAAGAAATACAGAAGAAGGCAGTTAAGGTGGTCGAAAGTCGTGACAAGATAACAAGGAGCAATAATAAAATACTGGACTCAGTATGACGTTTAAGATGAGGATAATGTATGGATACATCTGCGCCATTGAGGTAGATTCTGAGCTATGTCGTCTGAAGTCTACAACCACTAGTTTCTCTTGTTATGTACACCCTAACCGAAAAGTTTATGCCCCTCTACATAGTTCAGACCAACAGTCAAAGACTTTTTGTATTGTCGCCATGTTTTAGTCTGACCGCTCCTAACCTTTTTCCAGCCTAAACCTACAGCCAACATTGTGGGACGAGGCAGGAGGTGACTAGGCATGCGCATCCCATGTCCTGTCTACCTGAACTGCTGAAGGTTCATAATGTTGTCAAGTGACTTTCCTCCCCTAGATAGAACTCTATACTTGACTTCCATATTACTGATGCGGCGGGAGCACAAAACAATGGCATCGGTGGCCAAATACCTGAAGCCTTCTAACAGCCATACAGAAGAACAGAGCAAACTACAGCGCACTAAACTTGACTCTTAATTGTCAATCACATATCACAGTGGTGTCATAAATGGCATAAGTTGGCGAAAAACAATCGAGCCTTTTGTATCCGTGTGGTGATCTCATTGGCCACTGACCAACGCACCAATGCTGATTGGACTTCCCAGGTAATTGAAGTGGTCAAAGAGCCCAACCATTTCTTTCCCGATTGTTAGAAAAGGCACCAGTGAGGGCCAGTCCTAGAGCAGAACCTTGTATTTGGGTGGTGTTTCAGACATCCTCAAATTGCTACTCAAGGTGTCTGAAAGACTGCGTCTTATCAGCGTTTTCACCTAACACCAATATTTCGTCTTCGTACTCTTGGTCTACTAAGGATTCTCCTATGATAAGACCAACTGCTGTAAAATAAAACGACGAGAAGGAGACCTCCATAAAAACCTATATAATAACATTGAATAATAACGGAGAGAATGGACATCCATGACGCACAAAACTTGCATGACAACCCAGCGTAGGTTGTAACATGTCCATGGGTGTTCGAATATAGGGCCTTGAGTAGAGTTATGCACTTACCTGGCACCCATTTCACTGGAAGACCACGCCACAACACCTTTTCGTTTACAGTTTAATAGCATCTTCAGGTTGAGGAATATAGTTAGCGTTCGGTCTTGATAAGTGAGTCTGTGTTCCAGAACCTGGCGGAAGGTGAATATGTGGTCCATACGTCTATAGCCAGGTCCGAAGGCCGCTTGGTTGTAAAAGGGCTTGTTGTTCCCGAGCTCCACTCAGAGACGTCTAGTGATTATGGTCCTACAGTCTTAGACACTATATTCGTCGTGCTGTTTTCTCTGTGCTTATCACCTTTGTTATCTTTCTTGAAGATTGAGGCAATCAGTGGTTGACAGCACTCGGGGGTCGTATCTGACTACCATACACTAGCTAACACTTCAGTTAACTTGACTAAAAGTCCTTGACCATCGTCTTTAAATACCTCTGGAAGAGGACCATCTTACCCTGCTGCTCTTCCTCGTTTCAGGGTATCTACGACTTTCAAGACTTTTGCAAGTGCCAAAGGTCCTATGACGATGTTCCATTCAGGCTTCAATCGGATAGTAGACAACGCAATAGTTGTTGGGGGCCAGTTTAACTAAGCTTCGAGATATCTGCCCCCATCATTACAGTTGTTTTCCCTCCGAGTGAATCAAAAACCCATCCATCTTTATCTTCTCCGTAATCAGTGACCTTTTAACCCGTCTCCTTAATTCCAAAGTATCTGCCAACTGTTATATATCGCTGCTGCCTTTTCCAGCTCTTTAGTCTTCGTTGTCCACTGCTGTTCGAGATTGTTGCATAGACTTTTTGTCAGTCTACATTTGAGTTCCTTCCGCTCCTCATTGTGCGCGAAGCCTACGGGAATGGGTTCGCATGCATCCACCAATGTAGGAGAAGCTGCTAGGATCCACTAGGCCTTTCTCACCACACTCTGAGGATGGACTACGGCCTTCAACGCTGTTTCGCAGCAGACAGGAGGTGGCACCAGGTTTCTTCTGGATGAGTGATGTTGTGTTGTAATAACTGTCAAGACAGCTTCTCGCTAAAAGCACCTTTAGTGTTCTCGTTGTCGGACTCTACTCTTAGTGATTTTGTTGCTATAGTTTTTCAACGCTCATTTTGATGCAGGCCTACTCCAGAAGAACTGATAATCTTCCACCCACTCTCTGCCCATTACTGATGCCAATATGGTCTATCTGTATCCTCCACTGAGTTGAGTTCGGTGGACGCCATGTCAGACAGTGTCTCTCTTTATGCCCGAGATTCTTTCTGCTCAGAAATGTTTGTTTGATGAACACAGTTGTAGCAAGTGAGCACAGTTGTCTATTCGTTCGTTTGGGATTTCGAAAGGACCACTTAAATGCGTTCCTATCTGATTTAGTCTACCCACTTGTTCACTGAAATCCTCTGCTACGACCACTGCTGTGTTGAATTTTCAGTAGGAGGCTGGACAGTTTTCCGTAGAAATCATCCTTCACTTGATCCAAGCTGCAATGGGTGACTGGGCAAGCAGATATTACAAAGATACAGCGACGACCTTCACCGTTCAGTTTGGTCCTCACTGTACCTTTCAGTTGAACAGCACGCAGGTTTTTACCAACTGGGATCCAGTTGAGCAGTACACTTTCTGCCGTAGCAATTAATGCTGTACCTACACCTGCAGGACCACAAGAACTAGCCATGGAATCTGCAGAAACTCGAAGGGCGAGTTTTGAGGGTTCACCGTATTGGGTATATGAGGTTAGGCGAATGTTTGGGGTGTTTTTCACCATCCAACTGGGAATTGTTGCTGTAAGATTGGTCTGCATCAATACACTGTCTAGCAGTTAAGAACGAAGCAACCGAAGGGGCTGAATACTTCACTTAGGAAGTCAGATCAGTTATGGTGGGTCGGTGGCTGACAAATTCTACACATGAATACAAAAAGCTCCCTTGGCTTTTGTCAAATTACATAATCTACGGGACTAGTGAGATATCCGATTACCCACTAGCTGTCGAGTCTACTGCGCAGCAGATCATTTCGTCCTGTTGTGATTGTGAAAGATGGTCGTTTAAGTTGGGGAATATTTGACGGCTTCAGTTGTTCTATTTGACTTGTCTTCTTAGCATAAGCAGTATCATAAAGCCGCCACTTAGGTAACCTAGGCACAATAGCTAATTCAGTTAATAAGGTTGAAGTCGTTCATCAACTATGGTAGCTCGGATATGTGTTGCGCATACCCAGTTACCTTCTACCTCGTCTTGCAATGTTCGCTGAAGTAGGTTTAGGCTAAAGGAAGGTTAAAGTCGTGTAGGTTAAAACTTAGCATCAGTCCTTGCAGTTTTTGATTTGGTTTGAACCGTATACATAAGTTTAAGCCTGTAGGTTTGAGTCCGTAAGACAGATAAATCCGATGGCTGTAAACCTGGCGGTATTTCTGGAATCTACTCATTATTATTATTTGTCCCTTGGGTTCCTTTTGGAACATAGGGCTTCAGTAGCACGTCTCCAGTTCACTCTGTTCTCTGTAAACTTGGGAACCTGGTTACACGACAGCTCACAACCTCTCATCTCTTCCTCACATGATCTCCTCCATGTCACCCTCAGATGGGACGCCCAACTCATCGCTTCCCATCTGGGTTCCACTCGAGTACCTGGCATGTGACGTCCCCGAATGGTCTCCTCAGTGTATGCCCAATCCATCTCCACTTCCTTCTGCATATTTGTTGGGTGATAGCTTCTTGGTTGGTTCCTTCCCAGAGTTCCTTGTTGCTCATTTTTATTCTGGCCATCTGAGCTTCAATAACGAGCGTAGATAGTTGTTGATGAATATCTGTAGTTTTTGGAAATGCTTTTCGTAACGCACCAAGTCTCTGAACCATATAGAAGCACTGACTTGACATTAGTGTTGAAAATCCGAATCTTGTTCTGTATGCTGAGTGCAGATCTCCACACTGGTTTCAGGCTAATGAAAGCCTGTCTTGCTGTCTTTCTGATCCTGGCTGGCTTTGATGTCCTCGTCTGTGCCACCACCTGTAGCTGAAACGATGCTGCCTAGATAGGTGAAAAGACAACTTCCTTTAAGTTTCTCCCGTTGACGGTGATTGGAGCTTGTTGTTGGTGGTGATGTTGATTGAGTATCTTCATCACCTCTGTCTTCTCTATATTCACTTGAAGTCTCGTCTTCACTGTTCTGCCCTGCCTCTTCTGTCAACTTGTTAGTTTTCGCCTGTAGATCTTCAAGTTTGTATGACATCAGACACAAGTCATCAGCGAAATCCAAGTCTTCTAGGTTCTCTTCCGTGGTCCAGTGTATCCCCCTCTTCTCGCTCCTCACTGTTTGTTGCATGATCCAGTCTACTACAATCAGGAATATCGTGGGTGATGGTAAGCAGCCTTGTTTTACTCCTATCTTCACTTCAAAAGCATCTGAGCTTTCCATTGTGAATTACTTGGCATGTAGCATCTTCATATAGTTGTTGAATGAGATTGATAAAGGTTTGTGGTATTCCGTAGTATTGAAGCAGTTTCCAAATTACCTCTCGGTCGACGCTGTCGGAGGCCTTTTCAAAGTCGATGAAGTCGAGTTGATTGCCATTCTGTACTCTGTTCTATGAGGATGCGTAGCGTTGCAGTTTGGTCCGCACATGATTTGTACTTCCTGAAGCCAGCCAGCTTGTTCCGGTCGTAAGTTTAAATCCAGTGCATCATTTAGTCTCTCCAAGATGATGCAGCCCGATATTTTGCTTGCTCTGGGTGGACAGGAGTGGAGCATGATTCCACACCAGTTCTTGCAAAGGCTTAGGTCTTTCGTCTTTGGGAGTTTGACAAGGTAGCCCTTCTTCCAATCTGCAGGTACCTTCCCTTCCTTCCAGACCTTCTGCAATAGTGGTGTGAACATGTCCGCTGTTGTCTCTGCGTCTGCTCTCAGTGCTTGTGGCGGGATTCCATTTGGTCCTGCTGCTTTCCCACATCTCAGTGGATTTATGGCGTTCAGGACTTCGACTTTTGTTGGAGGATTTGTGTTTGCTGGTGTTTCTGTGGCTGGGGTACAGGTGGTGGCGGTGGTCGATTCAAGAGCTTTTTGAGGTGGCCAGTCCATCGTTTCCTTTGTTTCTCTTCTTTGGTAATTAAATTTCCTTCATCATCTTTTATTGGTTCCATCTGTGTTGATCTATTCCCTCTCAGATAGTAACCTGGTTATTCGATACAATGTTGTCAGGTCTCTATCTCCCCTAGCAGCAGCCTGTTCTACCTCACTTGGAAGTGTTTCGTAGAAGTGTCTTTTGTCTTTCCGCGCACGCTTCTTCACTTCTTTGTCCAGGGTAGTGTTTTATAGATTGTACTCAGTTCCTCTTGTCGCTGTTCATCCTTGCACTGGTTTGTCTCTTGCTTCACCATCCTCCTCTCCCTGCTCTATCAGCTTCCATGTATCTGTGGAGATCCATTCCTTATCTTCTTTCTTCTCCCTTCCTAATATGGTTATGCAGGTTTCTTTCCACATAGCTTCCAAGGAGTTCCAGTGTTCTTCCATTCAGGTTTCTTCAGGATGTTGCTCGGTATCTCCCATTTTGTCCTGATGGTTGCCGTGAAGATGTCCTTTGTAGTTTCGTCCTTCAGTTTCTGTTTTGGCTGTTGAACTGTGATCGTCTATCACCAACTTCCTTGAAGGCTTTCAACTTGATTTGGAAGGTTCCTTGCACTAGATAGTGGTCTGAACCCACATCTGCTATCCCTCTTAATCTTCTATCAAGTAGGCTGCGTCTCCACTTCCTTCACATTGAGATAAAGTCGATCTAATTTTTGGTGTAATGTGTCCATCTGGTGGAATCCATGTCGCTTTGTGGATATCCTTGTGCTTGAACACACTACCTCCAATCACCAAAATGGTTGAATGCACAGAATTCTGCAAACAATTCTCCGTTCTCGTTCATGATTTCACCAAGTGCTTCTCGACCCATGGTTAGTTTTCTTCCTGTGTTGTCTGCTCCCAGTTTGACACTCATGTCGCCCATTAGAGTTTTGATGTCGCCAACTTAGGTCTTGTCCAGTGCTGATTGCAGTTGTCTGTAGAATTCCTCCCTCTTCTCTTCATCTGCATTATTTGTAGGTGTGTAGCGTAGCATTGTATGATTGTGACTTTCCTTCCTTTTGAGTTGAACCTTGGTGCTATGATCCTGGAGGAGATTGGTTCCCACTGCATGAGAGTGAGCCTTCGATGTTCTTGGAGACATCATGGTAGCACCCCACAACCCAGTGTGTTCGTGGTTGTCATCTGGGTGACAATATCGGAGTAGATTATTAACCCTCCAGTTGACAGTTGAGAGTCCACTTCCATTCCATCTGCTTTCGCAAATTCGTAACACTTCAATACGATATCTTCTCGTCTCGTTTGCAATCTGGGCAGCCTTGTCTTGGTTCAAACATGGTGCGGACATTCCATGTCCCCATGTTTACTTTTGCTTTCATCGAGAGAATATACATCGGCCGACTGTCTTTCTGAAGGCTTTCACCAATCGGCGTCATTTCGCCTCTCCGATTCCAGCAAGGAATAAGTTTGTTTTTACTTTTATATTTTGTTTGTGCTTTGAAGTTTCTTTAGCGGTTGGATTGGTTTTCCGGGGTAGGGTTGCTGGCCGTACACCCAACCTTCCTCTTTACTCGGGCTTAGGACCGGCTAGTAACTAGTGAACTAGTTAACCAGGCAAGGTTCCTGAAGGCTACTTAGCTGGTGAAAATATTTCCAGTTTGTCTTCATCGTAATTGACATGTCATATTTCATTCTCGCTTGTAGTCACTTTTTTTCGTACTTAAGCTTTCTGCTGCTTTTAGTTATGCTATTTCTCTTCCATTGTTTGTTGTCTTGTTGCCTTATATTCTGATGCATTGTCAAGTTATGTAAGTCTGACCCTTCACTAGTAATGACAGGTTCTACATTTTGATGAATATGACTGGCTTAGGAGTCACTTTCCTCTGGAGTTGTGGTATGTACCACAAAACCTAAGGCAGAGTCAAGGTTTATTCAGTTCATCTTCCAAAACTGAAGTTTTCATGATGTTTTCTGGTTTACAATGTTTATGTTCATCAGCTTAAATGTATGATTTACATTTATTGTGTTTTGTACTCGAACTGTCTATCTTCAGAGGTTTGAAATATGCAGTTGTCTAATCAAAGACGCGAAATTATGTCTGTTATGAGTTGCATTATGATTATGATTACTATTAAGCATTCAGTGGACTGTTACGATAATTTGATACCTTTTGTGTTTTTCTAGCCTTTCAGATATCACAGGAAATACAACGCCTATATGAAGCCCGATGACACTTGTCTCATTTTCAAACACTTCCCATCAGAAATAACAGAAGAAGAATGTGTTGGCTTTTTAAAATCACTTGGGGCGACTTCGGCTCAGTACCTAGGAAATTCTGGCCCTCTGAAATATGTAATATATTCTCTTTATGTGTTTCATTCTAATTCAGCTTTAGTGTGCTTATGCTGAATTCACATCTGAACAACATGCTTGGAATATTATCAAAAATCTACACCAAAAAAGAATATTGGATAGGCGTCTTTCAGTCGAATTCGCTCAGTCTGCTGAATGTAAACATAGTTACTTATTTGACTCTTTTAGCCTTGCTTCTGTCAAACATCAGAAAACCAACCCAAATCAATCTTTCGAAAAAGAATATTCTCCTGTCACGACTATGCTTTTTCAGCAATGTGGGATCCATCTTTCAATGTTCCTTCACAGTTGTACTACGACTACCCTGCTGTATCGAATAATGTGTTAACAAACATAGTTCGATCATTGGCTTACTGCCCAGCATTTTATAATCAGGTTGGTAGGAATTTGGCTCATTTAGTATTTTATTCACTACAAGTTCTATAATAACTTTGTGCAGTTTAAGCTGAGAATTACTAATTTCCAAGCTAAGAACAAATATGCTTACTGACTAAAATGCAGGTCTATAAATGAATTATCTCAGCAACCACGTACATGTTTGTTTACTAGACGACTGACAATCTGATATGTGGTTGAGGCTCATGGACCTGTAGTTGAGAATTAATTGCTTACATTCATGATTAACAGCTCCACACTTTGAAACAGTTAAATTTTCCTGTTGTAAATAGATTTTAAAAGTGATCTAGTTTCAAATAGTAACATTGAGTTGACAATTTATATTAGTGAGTTAACAGACAAATGGTTAGCCTCGCAAAAAATCTGACCAAATAAGATAGATACGGTTTGTTTGGTCAATAAATCAAAATTTTGAGCGTATTAGTAATCTTCACTTACTTATTCACTCTTCTCCTATACCCTTCTTTTTTATTTTGACATCTTTCTATTCCTCTTGTTTTAGCACTATTACAAGGTGTGGCGACGGTTCGAATTGTTTCACTGCTATGTTGAATTCTAATTTCTTGTATCTGTTACTGAGTTAATCACTACTTTAGAAATTCAAACTCTGACGAGAATTAGACAGCAATAGAGGCGTATATTTTATCATAAGTTATACCGCGCATACCGTTCTTCAATTTTGGCAGGTAGAGTACGACTGGTAACACAAATATGTTTTATACATTAGTTTATAAAGTATGCAAATGACTGATTCGTCACATCTTTCATTTTATTTCTACGGATGAATTTCAGATTACAACTGTACAACTCTTACACATTTAGTCCGGCCAAAATTATGGTAACACTCCAAGTTTATCTGCAGTATATTTTATTGAGGTTACGATACAGATATGAGTGCCTTCAAGATAGTAAATTCGATGGTTAGAAATAATCTTTGATATATCAAGATTTCAGTTTTTACCGCAACTGAATATGTTAAGTTCACTTTTATTTTGCTTCAACAAATAATTATGAATGCATAAATCAGTAAATTATAAGTGGTGTCCAAAATGTAATCCAGTAAATAATTCTGTTACACTGCGTGATACATCTTGGCTTGGTGCGTACCAACCACTGCCTACCTCGACGTTCCATGCTGGCGGAAGTTGTTTTCTGTTTTAAGAGGGTTCAGGGTGGCTACACCAAGACCTAACACTAGTCGATGAAGTCTCCTACTGTTGGTCTGAGTCATATGGGGAGATGTAGACTGCCTGGTTGATGTCCCCGAGATGAAAGGAATCAGTGGTTGAGGACTCGGCGAGATGGCTAAAACTTAGCCACAGTAGCGTGGATGTATTCACTCCTTGACATCTAAAGCTTGAATATTTTCACTAACCTTTTTCTTCAGATTGTTTATTCTCTCGCAAAACTTTATCTAATTTGATATCAGACTTTTTCTATCCACGTGTTCTGTGTGTACTACTGTGAAGTATGGGAACTTAAGGTGATGCTGTTGTGTAAGAGGTTCTACGTTGGTTTTGCAGTCAGTCCGTCTAAATTAGAATTACATTGAAGTAATAATCTAATGCTCAAGCCCAAACCACTGGTTATCTGAATGTACGTTTCATGAAGACAAATTTTACACTTATTAGGTAACAACAACTGTATTGTTTTGTTTTATAGTCGTTTATAATTTATTTAATACTGGTATGCTTATTACAGTTTGTGTTAAACAAATTTTCCTGTAGGTACTGCATATAATGAACAAACTTCACTTACCACCACCATTTGATGATCCAGAACATTTTCCTGGAGATTATTTGGTTATTTCTGCAACAGATTATGCAAGAATGCAAACAATAATAGATAACTTACAGCATAACTCAAAAAAAGACCAAAATGATGCAGATTTGATTGCAGAAGAGATGGATTTATCTAGCGGATCAGAATCTGAACTAGCTTCTGGTAATATTTTTCTCTTCTTTATGCATTTTTTCTTCTTTAGACAATGATACAAAAACGACTGCACAACGACAAAACATCTCAGTAAGAAGACGACTAAAAATTCGCAGAAAATTGTATTCTGTATCATTAACTCATAATCCTGTAACTTCAAAACGTCAAAATGTTGCTGTTAGTGATTTATTTGAAGCACCTCCTATCACTAAAAAATTACATCTGCCAGATGTGCTTAATGTCAATTCTAAACCGAATCATCATATAACGTGTAGTGATATTGAAGGTGGTTTTGGACTTATTCAAGCAGAACCTGTGATAGAGAAAAGGTATCTGCGTGATGATTTAGTTCAGATTTTACAAGAAAACCGGAAAACCAATAGTTCCTCCTTGTCAGATTTCCAGTTACGTAAAGGTAACTTAGCTTCTTTTTTTCGAGCGATATTAACTAGTTGAATTTTTAAAATATTATTAAGATATAAATACTCACACATTTTATTCAACCTTAAAGGTCATTTTCAAAATTCCCAGTACACCAACAGATCAAGTAGGATACAGAGATGCTACCGTTTGAAGCTGATGAGAAATCGTGAAATAAAATGAACGCATTTTATCCTGTAAATCTCTTTGTTTCACCTAGTTGAAATCGATGAAGGAAACCAAATGTATACAGTTTTCTAATATGCATCTTGTTCATCAAACTGTCTTTGAAATTATTATAGGAATTTCCAAAGAACTAAAAAGTAGCTATTTGTTGTTCATAAGCTGATGACAACTAATTACCACTTTAAGCATGTAAAGTATCAGGCTAATTAATAGATCATAGGTATAGGTATCAGTAGTATAGCCTCATATTCTGTGATGTTAAAGAATCATCGACTATCAAGTGAAGTTTGATTTATCCTTTGTAATCAGATGGAACAGTTAGCGATTATATTGTCTATATTTTCATTCTGATATTTATTAAAGATGGTTTATTTCACTATTACAAACATAAACTGCTAGTTAGCTGCCCTATAATCTGAAATCTACTCAACCTAGGTTTGGAGACAAGTTACCATTCATTCAAATGTAAGTACATATTGATTTAACCATCCAGGTCCAGTGTTCATGTAGACAGACATTGACATAGTGTTTTGTTCTCTGACAAATTCTCGTATACATCACCAGATAAATTCCTTTTATATGAATCAATATTCTGTATTTCAAAAGACTTCTTTTCCCATTTATTACTATTATTTTTCTTTTGAAGAACGATTATCTGATGATGAAGATGAACATGAAGCTACTGAATGTCGAATTCCTTTGATAGAACAGTCATGTGTGAGTAGTCAGAACATTCAAACTGTATCAACTGACAATGGATCTTCTAATCTTCTTTCCGTACTTTCCGTTGATGAACTTCTATCCAATCGCTTAAAAGTTGATGAGTACAAAAATTACACTGTATTTGCTAAATATGACACTGGTACTCCTACATCACGTCTATATGTCAAAAATCTATCTCAAACAGTAACAGAAAATGATCTGTTTGAAATATTTGGTGTATTCTCAAATGGGCCTGTCAATGATAATAGTTGGAAACCGAGGATTTTAATGGATTCAACTGACAATTTTTCAGTTAGACTTCTGACTGAAGGTCGAATGAAAGGTAACCATGAGTTCAGTATATTTATTTTTCACCGTTGATCAATAATCATATTGTTATATGTTAGGCTTCAGTACAGCTCAGCCCATGTTTCTTGTTGGTCGATACATCAAAAAGGCATATTTGAAACCCTGAGGGGACTTGTTTTCATGCCACTCAGTGCGGAAACCAGCTGATCACAACCAATCTTCTGTAAGATTGATTGTAGTGTGTTCCCTAGTTAGCTGATTTACCTGTCTGATCATAAATGATCAGCATCACTGATTACAGTCTGTTGCGTTATTAGAAACCAGTTGTTAACACTATGCATACAGCCATGAGCTGGCTTTTATATCTCAACTGATGTTGGCGTATAAACCATTCGTATGATTCAAAATCCTCTTCACGTAGCAAGATAATACTTAGCATTTCAGCTCCTGGTGTTTAACTGAAAACTTTGTGCTGCTTTTTGATGGACAAATAAGACTCCACAATCAGATTAACCTTAAAAGTCGAATACACATATCATGAGATTTTACAGATTATTGTTTTTTTCTCTTTCAGGTCAAGCATTTATTGGACTTGCATGTGAATCAACTGCGAAACAAGCATTGGAAGCTACAAACGGTTATATGCTTTATGGTCGTCCTATGGTTGTTCAGTTCGCTAGAGGAGCCAAGGCAAAAGTCGATGAGAAAAGTTTAATATAATCAAAATAGCAGTTTTTCACATCGAGGAGAATTCTTTCTTCTTTAGATATAAAATTTCTGGGTTTTCTTCGTGTGTACACAGAAGCAGTTGCTCTTTGTAAATGTCTATTGTACAGTTTGTAAATATTAAGACTAAATTATATTGTATATTATGGCAGTCCTGATCATACAATTGTCTCTGCTTACAGTGGTGTTGGTGATTGGAGTCAAGATTGTTATACTCATCACTTGAGTGACTTATGAACAACATACATGTTCGAAAACGTTATTAATAAACTTGATTAAACAGTATCAAGGGGTTCCTGTTCTCAAAAATTTGGTACGCATTTATATTCTACAAATTATTGCGATATACTGGATTTAATAAGGGGGATACGTCTGTCCTGTTGTACAGAGTCATCCATTAAATAGTGGCTATTCGATAAGTCCATCCAGGATATTGCGAGTTGAAAGCATTTGAACATTCGTGCATTTCTGACGTCTGTTCTTCGACAAGGGGCTGGACTATAAAAACCTAATAATGTCGCTTACTCGTTTCAGCTAGTATCTTTTGCTGAACGCAGCAGTTTACTGCGCTAGCTTCCGAATACACCTCGGAGTGCAAACTTTACCAAGCTTTTATGCTCAGGTGGTAGGGTTAGTAAATGCATGACGATTCCTTCATATACAACAAAATTCCGCTTTAGAGATACTGCTGTCCCACTGAAGGGGAGTTAATTCCTCAATCTAGTTTATTGGTCTAAGTCCTAGCCGATAGCTGCTACCTTGATGTGTTGGTCGGACTTGTATATCACGATGAACCAACAAGCTATACTGGTGCAACGCTTGTTCTCTCGAGATCCTACCATGACAGAAAGGTCTCCCGCATAGTCGTCAGATGAAAAAGGAGTTATCGTTGTGAAGGGGAGGTCATACTGCTGTTTGGACGGGGTGTGACAATAGTTAGGTGTTTCCCTTGGATGACTAGCAGTGTCACATTGATGCTGCCTTCCCAGTGGAAAGCTGTGGTTAGAAATGGTTGGCCCTTAAAATAGCATACTCCTCCCTGCCCCACGGTCTTCCGGTGTCGGTATTATGGGTTCTCTACCCGGCATTAGAATAATTAAACCTCAAAACAACAACCCGCGGAAGGCCATGTGTGATAGGCCTCAAGCAGATGTCCCATAGGCTCTATGGTCACACAAACCTTTTTCGCCCTCCACGTTGTAGGCAGCCAGGAGGTGTCAACTGCACACACACTTCTAGCAGTACACAAGACCCCATCAAACATGAACTATCCTCCTCAACTCTGTTTTCGTCTTCACCTCCTGATACTAATACTAGACTTCTTGCACCTTCCCCAACCTCTCATTTTCTCGACCATTGTCAACGATCAAAGCCCTTGAAATCCCATTCCTAGTCTTCGAAGACCCAGCCATCGATTTCATGTAGAAGCTCTCAACGTCTGAACTCTGTGTCGAATCGGACAGTAAGCATCACTCGCCATAACTTTGCTATCTCAACCCATGGATGTTTGCTGTGTCACTGAGACACGTATACAGGACCCGAGTGCAGTTGTTAAATTGATCTCACCTGGACAGAGTAGTGAATCTTCAAAATTCACCTTACGAATATCTGGAGACCTAGTGGCTAACTCTCGTAGACTTGAATGGTATAGGTATAGCATTGAGCTGTAGGGCAGGAAGTGCTCTCCTCGACTGGTTTTCATTAAACAACCGTCTATGTGCTGTTTGATTGATTGGGTCTGTGAGAACCAGTAAGGACTGTGAGACCGGCCGATATGTATTCGTAATCTCCGCCTATGCACCAACCAACTGCAATTCAGATGATGCGAAGGCTGAATCCTTTGAAAAGCTGTCAACCTTGCTACAGAGATCAAAACGTTCAGATATAACCATATTGGCAGGTGACATTAACGCTTAAGCAGGGGACTTGAGCCAAACTATCCCGTGTCAGCAAACCGACAGTAGTGATCGTCTGTTGCAATTTTGCTCCGAAAATTGTTTGTCCTCAGCACTGACTTTAGGCATATTGGCGTCCAGCCACTTCAAACCAGCGATGGACACAGACAGATCGTACCGCCATCGTTAAAGGATTGGTGCTGTTTCTGGAATGCGATCATGAGCTAGTACGAGCTTGTGTGTCTGTGCCTTGCTGGCGGAAAGAAACAGACGCTTTGGGACAACTGCTCTTGATTGGAAGATGACCCCAAGTATGTATTTAGGAGTAAACTAAGCATTTACCTGAACGTGACAGAAATGCTAATCCTGAAGAAACCTGGCGAGATATTAAGTCTACTGTAGAAACAGTGGTAAAGACGATTAGTTAGCAACCTATACCCGGAGGTTAGCAAATATCGTTCGATGTCCGCAATGTCGTCCGCACTGATTGATGCGAGAAGACTGATTCCAGCTGGATGCCTCTAACCACGGTGAACAGCGGAAGGTACTTGGGCATAAATCGACGAAGAATTTTTACGTCGATCGCAAACTGGTGGGTGGCAGTGCGGGAGATAAAAAAGGCATTACAATTGGGTCACACCCAGTAACTATTCAGGCTAAGTAAGGATACCGGCATACCATCGCTGAAAAGGAGGGGACCCTAACAACATCCCACAACAGGTGGTAAGAACGTTGGGAAGAATACTTCGAAGAACAGTCCAACTGGCCCTCGGCAACCCTTCAGTTGGCCAACATCCACCCTGAAGCTGAATGGCATGCAGATATCGGTTCTCCAACTATCCTGGAAGTTGAGAAGGCTGTATGTAACTTGAAAAGACATAAAGCACCAGGATCTGACAGTTTGTCACCCGAAGTTTCCAAGGGTAGGGGTAGCAAATTACTAGGTAAAGTGACGGAGATACTATGCAGTGTATGGGAATCAGAGGTAATATCGTCAGACTGGTCTCTCATCGTCCCAGTCTATAAGAAGGGAGAGAAATCTTTCGACAACTATGGGGGAATTAGATTCATATTGTGTCTAAAATCCCAGTACCTATAGTTGTCCGACGCCTAACTGGAGCTCAAGAAAACCAGGCAGGCTTCAGACCTGGACAGCAGTGCATTCATCGTATCTTTCTTTATCCTACGGCAGGTTCTGGAAAATAGGCATACCTACCAGCCAATGGCCGACACTTGCCATATTTCTTGACTTGAAGGCGGCATTTAACTCAGTCCACTGTGAGGTATTGTGGCAGCGTATGAATGTGAAGGGCTCATCGAGGAAGTAAATAATTCTTATCAAAGTTCTCCGTTCGAAGTCTTGCAGCCGTGTAAACGCTTATGGAGAGTTGTCATGTAAATTGACGACAACTAGTGGTGTCTGCCAGGCATGACCACTGTCACTTTTCTGATTAACTTCGTCTTTGATATACTAATGGCCATAACTTTAAGGTACGTCCGACTTCACAGAGAGTAATCTACTCACTGAGGGTCACCTGGTTAACTTGTAGCATGCAGACGATGTTGTCCTGCTAGGTAAAGACGCTGACAAAATCCAGGGTTTTCTGAGCGTATTGACCAGAAATCTAAGCATGTTTGGCATGCGTCTCGCTGGCACCTGTCAAATGTAAGATGATGCTGCAGGACTAATCCGCTACAAGTACTTCCGGTTTAGTGACATGGAGTTAAATGGTGGAATGCGTCGTTCACTTCACTTATTTCGGCAGTTGCATCAACCGGAACAGGCTGGTTGCTGACGAAATCTCAACTGGGATACAAACGGCCAATTTGACATTTGCCGATTTGCGTCATCTGTGGCGCCGACTGGCAAGATATCCAACTATCACTGAAAGAACAAGTATGCTGCGCTGCAGTCCCTTTCTGTCCCTTGTTACGACTGTAAGAGATAGCCGTTAAAAGTAGAAGACATGAAGCGATTACAGGGTTTTGATCACATGTATCTTCGTAGCATTGCCTGCGTTTGGTGGAATCGCTATGTGAGCACTGTCGAGGTCAGGCGAAGGGTACTAGGCAAGTCGATTGATGAAGTTGTGAACCGTAGTTGACTGAGATGGCTTGGATATGTACTGCGCATGCTGAGTCCTATCTAATTCGATGTGCCATGCTAGGGAAGTTAGGTTGGAAGAGAGCCAAATCAAGACCTGACACTAGTCAATGTAATCTCTGACTATCGGTATGAGTCGTGTGGAGATGTAGATTGCCTGGTTGGGGTCCCTGAGATAAAAAAAATCAGTGGTTGAGGACTCTTGGTGACATGGCTGGTTACAATAGCGTGGAAGTATTCACTTCGTGATATCTTAAGCTTGAATATTTGCACTTACCGTTATCTTCAAATTGCTGATTCTCTCACACTACTTTATCTACTCTGATATCACTCTTCTGTCCACTTGTTCTTTGTATGCTACTGTGAAGTGTGGCAACTTGAAGCGATGCACTTGTGTGCGAGATTCTACGCTGATTCTCTCTGTTTCGTTAGTTGGTCTATTTATTTCTTTTCTAGAAACCACCTTTACTACAGTAACCTGTAGATCTTTATGTTCACATTAGATAGTTGTTTTAGGAGTGAAATAATAGCTTAACTCAAAGTTACTTCACTAATATATCAAAATCTCATTCATCATCAATAACAGAGGTGATTCTTCGCAAGTATCGAACTCTTCACACTGTTGTTAACGCCATTTGTGACAGTTCTAAAATCATTTACTCAAAGCTATGTTGCAGTTAGACTTCAAAATATTTCAACATATAGATGTTTTCTCGATAAGACCATATGAACTATCTATAGCTAAGCAATAACAATATTTTGCCAATACCAAGAATGTTCAAGTAAGGATATACAAAATTGCCTTCATCTAACACTTCGTACATACATACCTAGTAGCTTATTGCAAGAAATGCATCATCCATAAAGCTTTAAATGTCTAATACCACAGTTTAATAATGAATGAATATACTGAGACAGATAAGTATATTTTGTAAATTATCAAATACTCGAAACTAGAAAATATGAAAATAAAAAAGGAGAAAAAGATAAAATAACGTTCTGTTCGATATGTAAATGGAAACTTCTTGTTTACAACACACTGTTTCAAGAAGTGATGATTTTCAGAATCCACTACACAAGGGGATTTTAACTTGAAGCAATTTGTAGTTGTTTAAAGAAAAGGCTCTGAACAATATTAGAAGTAGTACATAAGTGTGTATTAGTTTTATTGCCAGCGTACGATTGAACTCTAACAATTTTACGATTTGCTTCAGCTAGTCTAAACAGTTCATGACTACGTCGAACATGAGGCGGTTGAAATGAATCAGATGCTAGACGACGTCGCCGTGATAAATTGATGACCGTTTGCCTTACGAAACTGCTAAGACAACGTTGACTTAACACCAAACCACATTGAAGTGGACCAGCTTCGAATGTTCTACCTTTAAGGCGCATAATTCCGACTCTACACAATCCAGAACTCAAAGGATGAATGTATATTGTAACAGGACAGTCAAACTTTTGACTAGTCATATTCTGTATCTGCATTCCAACTCCATCAGGTCCACAATGCATTGGCCCATCTTCCCATCGTTCAAGCCAAACAACTGCTACTCGACCTCCTGTTGGATCAGCTCCAACTTCTCCCACACCTACTGCACTTTGGTTTGTTCCACGAGTTGTGTTAGCTGTTATCAAAAAGGAATACATATAGGCTTTATAAACAACAGGGACATTTTAAGTTTCATAAATATGTGTTCAAGAAGATATTATAGATGATAATGTTTACTGTGGACGTGACTATTTATTGTTCAAATGTTCTGTGTTGAAGTAATCATTTATGAACCTCACTCTTTCAATGCTAAATAATATACTGGGCAGTCCAAATAATCTCTTTGTAACTTCACATATTAACTACTGTCTTAAAGTCGATGAATACATTTTCTTATGCGGTTAACGAATCAACTACCAGAAACTGAAAACTCAACAAAAGTTTAAACAAGTTTGCTTTATTTAAAAAGTACAGAGTACACAAAGTAAATATTTAACTGAATGACGAGAAAATGTCAATTTTTGTCTTGTATAATAATCCTACTTCTTCAACATTTAGTGAAGGATACAACATAATACTATTATCGGTTTACTGATTTCAGATAGTGATAAACTGTTGTCAACTTAAAACGTGACATTGAGTAAGTTCATAGGGTTATCTAACCACCATCACTATTTGAACTAAAGTATTCATATGTGCACTATTATCTAAAGACAAAGTGGCATATTTATTATAAGCGTCTGTTTTCTTCACAGGTTTACACTCAATAAAACTCCTGGATAAAAATGTTACTACTCAAAATTTCAAAGGTGAAACTGTGGTTTAGGGAGATAGGAATTAACCAGTGGGTTACGATTTCGATTCCCACCTACCGAGGGGTTTGGGCAGTTAGGTAGTATCATTAGCCTTCAGGTGTAACTCATTACCTACTGCATGTATGAGCATGAGGTGACTTAGTGGCATGTCTCTCGTCTTAAAATGTAGAATTGAACTTTATAACTGGTTTACATTGCATTTAAAAGGTGAGATGATTGAATATACTGACTGTTTGGTTAATCTAAACAACTGTATCTATCCTACGGCATATATCGTCAATGATATCTTAGCTCTATTATGAATAATATAATCTGAATTCGATAACTTGAAGCAAATATGGTACGGATGATATTACTGACTTACAGAAAGTGTGTAAGTTTACCACATAGCTGTGTAGTCACAGGGAATGGTCAATAAGAGGTGAAGTGAATAAAACTTATGTCTTGCTACTAATGGTTTTCAGAGTAATGGTTATGCAACCACAGTGGTAAACTATATGGTTCTAAATTGAAAAGGATTGACTGACTTCCGGTATCCAGCATGTTGCATTTAAGCCTAATGTGGAATTCTACATTAAAAATATTATAAGAAATGAAGAGATTAATTAAAATTCTATTCGAACTTATTCATTTCGCATACTCTTTGAACAAAACAATGATGATTAATGTTGATCACGCCACATAAAGGCTATATGGCAAGATGTTAGATACCGGGTAGTACTGATTAAGTGTTCAGATACCATTCAAATTGAAATGATTCAAAGTTAAAAACTTACATAGATTCTCACTAGCCATATGAGAACGTGTAGTCTTTGATATACGACGATATTCTATTTTTTCTTCATTTTTATAAAATTTATCAGTTGGACAAATACAAGCTAACTCAGTCATTGGATCAGCATAATAGATAATTGATTGATTACCATCAGGACAATGATAAAAATGAACATCTTTACCTTGATTAAATTGATTTGGTATAAGACAATCATTTGATGTATGATAACTAGTTTGTAGACTTCCTGTCCAACCTGGATGTCCAAGAACATTTTTAAAATGACCAATACCACTCAAAAACTGATGAAATGCTTCAGGTAATCGTAACCAAATTTTCTGTTTAACAGGGTAAGAGATTTACACAACAAAGGTTAAGCGAACATCATCAGCTGTGGATATTTAAAACTACTTTCACAAAGTAATGTTTGAGTAGGTGGTTATTCTCAATTTTTTTAATTCAACGAAAATATGTGAACTGTTTAATTAATGCTGTTGTCTAGTGAATTATTCTAGCATCCAACTGTATATAGTGAAAGATTCGAAAATGAAGCCGAAATGAAACATAAATGAACAATGACCCACAAAGTCTTTGACTGTTATTGTGAGCCGTACAAAGGGATTTGGGTCCCCTGGTTGGGACACACAAAAAAACACAACTTAAAGTGACAGGTAAGGACTATAGATGACAAAGCTCAGAGTCTGAGTCCTACTATCACATTTCACTATTAGTTTTGTCTTATGTCTTCCCACAACCTCTATATGATGTTAATTCCACTTTTCTCACTCCATTTCGCTTTGATGTACTGACATCACTCGTGACAAGTTCTAGCATTAGGCAATAGTCCCATGCAAGTGGGCTCAACAAATTTTGTAGTGCTAGCTGGTCGGGCGTCTAGACTCAGAAGAGAGTCGTTTAGATGACCAATGAGGACTAGCTTGCCGCAGGTCGGATAATGAGGATCGTCTTCTGCAGCTTTGTGCAGATCACAACCTATTTCTAGCCAGCATAGCCACCGCCTTCCCTCTGCTACTCAAGCCTGGACTCAAATAGATCATACTGCAATCAGCATACAGGACTTCCGCTCCATATGGAGTACTTATCTGGACTCCGAGAGTGCTTTAGTGTGTGCTAAGCTAGTCTTGCGTTTTGGTGGTCATCAAAATCGTCGTCCTACACAGGTCAATGCAAGCAAATCAGTTGCACCTAACACTGCAGCTAAATACTAATTCATGCTAGGCTTAAGACTGGCTACCAATCCTCCAGAATGTGTAGACGAGCACTGGTCGCACTTGTGAGACGTCAAAAAAGTGGTGAGTAAAGCCGCTTGGGGCTTAGAAGAATGTCCCGCTAATAAAATTCGGGTCTCTGCGAACCCCCCTGAGACTGCTTGACGCCCGTCGGACCGTTCCGGTGGAAAGCGAGTACAATGATTTGGCGTAAGCCTCTTACGCGAAAGAGTACACAACGCTTACGCAGGGACCGTGAGGCTTGGTGGTGGCGTGAGTGAGATGAAAGCAGTAGCTGCATCTGGCAATAGTCGGGATCTGTTCCAGCTCATCCTAGACACTGGCAGCAAGAAACTACGCGTCAGTTAGACGGTTTATGAGGTAGATGGTACACAGGCAAACAGTCTTCAAAGACGCCTGGAATGCTAAGTGGAGCACTTCGGAAAGCAATTTAGCTGGCCCATGGCTCCAGCATTGTTACCTTCGGCATGTCGTGCTCCATGGTCAGTTGACATTGACCCACCTAACAAAGCGGAGGTTCATAAGGAACTCCAAGTTATGGAACGTCACAAGGCACTCGGCCTAGACAACCTACCCCCAACTCCCTTTAAGGACGGGGGAATGACTTTAGTTGGGGAACTGACTAGATTGTTTAGGAAAGTATGACAGACTGAGAGTGTTCTATCACTCTGGAATGAAACCATCGTTGTGCTCATCTTTAAAAAGGGTCTATGTAATGTGTGTGACAATCATCGGGGTATTGGTTTGTTACCAGTCGCGTCGAAAATTTCGGCTGCTATCATACTTCGCAGACTTTGTAAAACGCGTGAGAAAATGATTCAAGAGGAACAGGCCGGGTTTCGTTCAGGTCGTGGATGTATGGATTACGTGTTTATCCTCGGCCAGACGTAATGATAATGATAGTACCAGGACCTACGTAAATGATAGCTGTCTGTCTGCTTGAAATATGCTAATATTCGGAGTGCTGAGTAGGGAGGAAAATTTCAACCCTAGTTTTTTTCTGACAAAAATAAATAAATAAATGTCTGGAAGGCTTGTGGCAAAGCTACCAGTTATTGAGCCGAATACCACTTTTCTGAAAGTCTTCATTTTATCGGTAAATGGATTTTGAGCATGGACCTGTTTAATTCTTGTAAACTTTTCTTTATTCGGGTACTTTACAGTCCCTAGGAGTATCCAATATTATGTTATTTAGTCTTCATTGCTGATCTAATTTTATCAATTATGGAGAGAAGCCATCCACCCTCTCTTATGCCTAGATCTATCCACATCGCTAAGTTTTGAATTACATGAAACAGTATTTGTATACAAGTATGAGAATGAGAAAGTATTGATCTCTTACCATATTTGCAAGGATATCTTCAACTTTCGACTGTCCAGCAGCAACATAAAACACTAATAGAGTATCACCTGTTCTAGTCGGCATTTGATCTAGATTGGTCAGTATATTAGAGAATTCTGTATTATTGTCCACATCGAATGGAAACAAGGGTAACAATTCATCTTCAGTGCTATTCGATGGCAATGTAGGCGAGAAACTAGTCATCCTACGACTACTTGTCAGTGATGGACTACGTTGATTAGATTGACCAGAGCGTTCACCTGACTGATTGTCACGTTTCAACTCAGAACGTGACCATAAGGACTGAGGCATTTGATAGGGACCAATCGATAAATAACCCAAATGTGTTAGTAATAAACGTATAGAATGAAAATAGACAACTGGGCTAAAAGAAAATGCATAAAAATAGGGAAGAAAATAATTTCATCCAGTAAAATGGACTCTGGAGGTTGGATTGATCATTAGAGAACTGAAACATTAAAGTGAGACACTCTGTTGAAATACATTTTCAATCATATCTAATTAATTTCTTCCAGAAGTAAATTTACGCATTTGATTCAGCAAGTTTGATGGAAAAACGCAGAAACTTGTTCAGTTCTTTTTTACCGTCACGTGGTCCTTTCTACTTTTTAAACAGCGTACGAAATACACCCATGTGATCACAGGAAAAGACAAAATAGCGGCTGCAGAGAAGAAACCTTTTTCTTTCAGACGAAGCCATTTATTGAGTTGTAGATTCGTGAATATATGTTACGGTGGGTATGACATTCTGGAATTATTTCCGGTTAGGGGTCAAAATAAATGGTTTACTCAAAAGCTGGTTCATTAGCAATGATGGACATGTAAACGTGGAAACGAAGGAGCTCAAAAAGTCATACACTGAGACACATATTCCTCAACTAAAGTCTCGTCGTGGACCAGCGGATAACGCATTGGGGTTCGAAGCGATGGGTACGAGGTTCGAGTGTCAGTGGGAACAAAGTCACTCACTGGGGTGCGGGTACATCCAGCTGACGAGTCTGAAATAGGAAGAAACGTGCGTTCTGGATTCCTCCGCTAGCTACAACCAAGTAAATTCTCATTGCCTACTGCACGAGAATGTGCACAACGTTGCTGAGTGCGTTTCGTTTTATGTAGCAAAAAAACTCAACCAATCATCAGCTGGTTTTTATACTGAACTAAATTGATCGGTCCTTGTTGGTATATGGACTCCTTGAACGAATGCTTAAATATCCTCTCAAGTTTCATTCAATCAATGGGAAATCACAAGCATCAATGACTAAAAGGTTATACCAGTTGCACAGAAGATGACTCTTATGACTCAGTAAACTTGTGGATAACGCCGGTCATACGTACTGGAATTCCAGTCTCACCATCACTCGCTGAGATGCAGGTACATTCAGCTGACAAGTCCCGAATAGGATGGAATGCGCACTTTCGATTCTATTGCTACCCAACACACCAAGCAAATCAAGTCAGTTACTTTATTTTAATAAAGACTTCAATGGACAAATTTGTTTTCGGCAGTATCGACTTCTGTAACTGTACACTGTCATCGAAATGTAGTCAGTGTATACAAGAATGTCAATATTTGTTAGTAGTGTTTTTGGTCATAAAAATAATACAGAAATGAAAATATGTGAAAACATGAGTAAACGTGAGTTGGAATCAAGAAGTAAAAGATAATTCGTAACAAAGTGAGTAGACGGTTGTCATTCACGAAGGGAATGCAAAATTTGTAACGAAAATCGTTTACGTAGTGACGACATGAAAAATTAAAAGGTCAGTTCAATTTAAGAACTGGGAAGTTTAACAATTAAGAAGAGTATAAGAAGGGGATGGTAAATTCATTTCTGCTGTATTTTCAGAGCTTCAACAATACAATGGAAACGTTTCCTAACACTTTTTTAGAGATGATGTTGTGCTTTGCAATGTCAACTATGTCTACACAAAGGACACACATTGAAGTGACCCAAAGCAGCAACTTGTCATTAATACATCTTTGAATCATTTGTTAGCTGATCTGTAGCTTCGTAGCGTTGCTCGCGTTTAATGGAATCATCAAGTGAGCAAATTGTGGTCAGGTGAGGGGTACCAGGTAAGACAAACAGGTTGATTGATGAGGCTATGAATCTTAGTCGACTGAGATGACTTGGACATGTGCTGCGAATGCCAATCGACCACCTACCTTAACGTGCAGTCCTATGGGAAGCCCGATTAGGTTAAAACAGGGTTCAGGGTGACCGGATCAAAATGTGGTACCATTCAACAAGGTCTCTTTCTGTTGGCCTGAGACGTAGACTGCCTGGTTGGGGTACTCGAAATGAAAGGAATCGACGATTGAGGACTTTTGGTTACATGGCTGAAAAGTGGTCACAACGGTGCAGATATATTCACTCCTTAACATCTAAAGCTTGAATATCTGTACTTACGGTTATCTTCGGACTATTTGTTCTATCACACAACTTTATCTACTTTGATATTACTTTCGCTATCTACCATGTTCTCTGTGTACTACTGTGAAGTCCGGCAACCTGAGTCGATCCACCTGTGTGAGAAGTTTTACGTCTGTTTTGTCAATCAGTCATAGAAGAATGCCTTCTTCAGCGATTTGGAAATCCGGTTCTTCAGGATCTCTGCTGACGTATCACCTTTGAAACCAACGTTCGTGAATAAAGTCCTCTTTGTAACTAATAGTGCTTGTTCTATATTTTGTTTTTCTCCATAAATCTGGATGGGTATCTATTTTGTATGAGATAATTTTTCGGAGTTTGTCCAATTCATCATCGATAGTATCACTCGTGTAGATTCTTCTGATCCTTGATAACAAAACATAAATCAAATTCCTTTTTCTGCTGAGAGGTATCCAGCTATGAAAATTCCCTTATTGTCCATTTCATTTCGGCTGCCTGTAAATCCATCTCTGGAGGGAACCATATGGTCTCTGTTTCAATAAAACATCGAGAAAATGAAATTCTGAGTTCTCTTCAAATTTTGATGTGAAGTTGATCGATGGGTGATCAATCATTAAACTTTTTAACTACGGTCCCGATATCTGTATTTTGATCATATATGACGAATGAATGCATCATCTATATATATTTTATATGGGTGAAAACTATTAGTTATTGAGTGGAGCATACTATTCAAGTTTCATATAAAGCAATCAACCAACAGCGACCCAAGTAGTGAGCCTACAGTAGTTCCTTCTGTTCGTTTGTAAATTAAGTCATTGGAAAAGATAGTTGTGAAACACAGATTGATTATTTGCGTGAAGTTCGGTTTGCATTTATGCAGAAATATAAATACCACTTTCCATAGTTATTTTTCTGAACATCTTCTGTTATCTCAAGAAACCGAGTTATCGAATTGATTTAGTGCTCGGCTTTTACTGACAATGTGTTGAAATTTTCTGAATAATACTTTCGATAAGTTAAATGATGATGTTCCCGGTAGTGAAACTGTTAGTTGTAATGAAATCATCTAATTTGTGTTTTCTTCGGACATAGAAATGGATTTTACAGTTGGATCGTTCGTTTTCACATACTACTGTTCACCTCTCTTAGTATGAGGTATTTTTCACTAGATTTCTGAATTTCCTCCGCATTTCAGTGTCTAGTTATTTCACTGGATTCTTGCTTTCTTCAATTAGTAGTTTTTAGGCCCTTCTGTACCGTTATGATGTTTTTTTGTTGATAACAATGGCTTTCTTTTCCTTGTCCAACAATAGTGAATCCTGAATTTTTTTCGATTTACGATTAGTGGAATTTGTTAAAGGTTTTAAACACGCTTAGGTAATGAACGCCAACAAAGATGAGACAAGCGTCCAGAGCGTTTTGCTGATCAGCTTCAAATGTATAGTTCAATCAAAGTCATTTAGCATACTGACTACACTGCACACTTCATCTATAGGATTTTGTTAGTACTTAGGGGTTGAGAGCTACACTAGTCACTATAATCCTCATCTGATAGTCAGCTCGTCGAAGACCTGTACTTTCGATGAATAGCTATTAGAATGGTTTTCAGACAAAAAAAGTGATTCTGTTAGGCATTTTTACGAAAAGATAATAAATTTTATATGCTATTCAAAACGTTCATCATTATCAAATCATCAAGATCAACATAGGACGAGGCATTCACTGTGTAACGGTCCAAGTTGAAACATTTCATGTCGGCATATCCTCCAGATCAGAGCTTTATTAGGTAATGGAAATAAAAAATATTGAAAATAATGACGATAATAATATCTAATACTTACATTGGTGCTTTCGCTTCTGTCATTGGATCAGGATAGGGTGTATTCAATTTCTCTTGTACAACACGTAAGCCAACTTCTTTTGCTAGTGAAGCATGTGCAGCTATTAATGTCTTGAATGTATTAATTTCTTGTCTAACATTATTATTTCCAGTTCCATAACCAATCTTATCTAATGAAGGTATAGTACGATCACTAAGTGTAATATGAAAAAAAAGATGAGAACAATAGAAAATCACTTCCTACCGTATGAAGTAATAATAACAATAATAATCGCTTTATTCCAAACGATATATATGACAGTTTCAGTGGGAACAACATCACTGCAGTGCAGGTACACCCAGCTGACGAGTCTTAAATAGGACGAAATGCGCGTCCTGGATTCTTCTGCTAGCTACAACCAACCAAATTAATATATATGACAGTATGGAATTCTCAGCGTATAATTTTTCAACACATCCACTCCTAGAACAATACTTTCAGACGAAAAAGGTTATTGCATTGGAATGATGTTAATAATAACAGTGTTCAAAGCAATAATGTGAAATAGCCAGGTGGTTCTGGATTCGGGCATCCAGTTTATAGTGAAGAATAAACAGAAATGCAAGTGTAATTTTGGTAGTAGCTGTTCATTTAGACGCTACAAAAATCTGCAAATCAAGTTCAGCATCTGATGGATAGAAATATGATGTACTTTTTTGCACCGAAAAATTCATTTCCATATAACGTAACATTTTTTTCACTGCTTTGTTACTGACTCAAGAAATAGATAGTTGGAAACAGTTTAAAAATGTGCAAGAGTACATCATACGTTCAAAGGATATATTTGAATGATTAAAACAAATTGAAAAGAAAGAATATGATGAGAAATGTTCCATGGATAAATTTGGTAGTCCAAGGTTCAAACAGGCCGCCATGATGTAGAGTATTAAAAGCCATTCTATCACACAATAGGTGTTATTTTCTGTGGTTTGAAACCCACTCCACATTAGTAAAATATGACAGTAAACCAAAGCATTACTACTAAAATAATAACATAGAAGTATGTCTATTATTGCTCGTTTCATATTAGATTATTTATTCAATACAATACACAGTATAATTTACTGGATATTGTTTCAAGCAACATTTGTTGCCCATACTTATGCATGAAACTGATCATGTGACTTTACATAGTCCAATGTTTCTTCATTCTTTCATCCTAAAGATAAAAAAATGCCCCAGATATCTGGAATATGTGATGAGTCATTCCTGTTACATAAATTAGGTGTTGATTCAGTAAAGTAAGATTCTGTGATCAATCTCTCCCTCCAGTTCCCGAATTGCCACCCTACCCCGCTGTATAGTGTGGTTATGACTCAATGTATGTAGAGCGATAGCCAAGTTTTCTTCTAAATTACTTATCTCAGTAGGGTTTACCATTGTATTGTAATGGTGGGTAGTGGCTAGTAGTGGAATCCATCATTACTATACATAATTAAAACAGGTAATATCGAGGCATCCAAACAGGAGCCCATATGCCAACAGAGACTGATCAATTCGGTTCAATCAACGACGATGTAATACAAGCAATGACACTTTACCATCGTATGTTTTGTTAAATTTATATGTTCCGCTATTCTGACTGACCTAAATCGGCTATTTTGACCGATATACTTGCTTTAACAATCATTACATAGTATTTGGTAGATTATGTTATTTTTCTTAATTGATTCTACTAGATCTTTAAGCCTACAAAATTTCTCTCTGAACGAGTTCACGGGTTTAAATGACATTGCACTCAACATAAAGAACAAGATCCAGATTTTCGACACTAGTGTCAAGTCAGTGCTTCCATGTGATGGTTCATAAACTTGGTGCGTTACGAAAAGCATTTCCAAAAAAACTACAGACATTCATCAGCAGCTGCCGCCCACCCTCACTCGATACTGAAGATCAGATGGCCAGAAAGAATAAGCAACAAGGAACTCTTGCTGGCAATGAACCAACCAAGAACTTATTACACAACAAATATGCAGAAGAAAGTCGACATGGATTAGGCATACACTGAGAAGGCCGATTGGGGACATCACACTCCAGGCCCTCGAGTGGAATCCAAAGGGGAAACGACGAGTTGGGTGTCCGAGGGAGACATGGAGGAGATCATGTGAAAAAGAAATGAAAGCTTGTGGCCAGTCATGGAGCCAGATTCAAAAGACTGCAGAGAAAAGAGTGAAATGGCGACCTAGTACTGAAGCCCTATGTTCCACTAGAAACCCAAGGGACAAATAATAATAGTAATAAAATAGCACCCGAATCCCAGCATAGTTAGGAACTTTAGGTAAATTTTCCGACATGACTTCTTCATCCAACAACACAACAGAGGATTCGGATCCCTCTTAGGCATGCTGCAGTCATCGCCAATATTATCACTCCTTCTTTTATCAGTCCTTATTAAGAAACAGTGTCTCTTTGATGCTTTTCACTACCTTATTTAGGTTTGCTGACTTACTAATCAAACTTCTAGTTCAATTACTTGGACATGTTATGAAGCCTACTCTGACAGATATAGGGTGAGATGATGAGAAATCTAAGTGTCTATTCGAATGTGTTGGTTTCCTATAAACACCAGCTTCTCTACACTTGATTTTGAAATATTTAAAAGAAGTTCGAAAGTCATATGATTACTCTGAGATATGGATATGAGCAACAAATTCTGTTCGAAACGTCGTCCAGTAAATAATCTAATATGGAGTTATACTCTAATAGAGTGGACAAGTTTTACTCTTACATTACTGCTTGTTTCCTTTTTTGTACTATCTGAATCAGATAGTATAATATTCAAGATTTTTGTGATCGCTTAACTTTTAACTAAGGTTTTTTTTGAGGGGGGGGGGACGATTGATTTAAAACCAGGTTTAACTACAGACTGACCCGAACCAGCCACTCATTAGCACAATATAGAACTGTTTCGTCCTCGTTCGGGACTCCTCAACAGCAAGCACTGATAACCCCATGATAGACCCAACTCTGAATATTCAGATTTCGTGGTGTGTGTGTTGCTATTCAACTACTACGTTGGAACTCGATGGTCTACTTTTACCAATTTATATCAGTTTACGACTGAAGGTGTGAACACCATCCAATGCCTTTAGTGAGTCCCCGTCCACAGTTCAATGCTACTAGGTCCTCATCAGTGAGTTTCCAGTTGACGTCATGACAAAAACTACTTTGAAATAAGTTGCTTTTTGAAAAGTCTCCTGATTTCATTATTTTCTTCTCAAGGATATTTGAAATATGAAGATTATTTGTCAAGTCCCAGATTAAACTAAGGGATATGACAAAAGGAAGTGAGAGACAAGTTTCTTGCTGAATGAATTAGGTAGATAATTATAGAAAATCTAGATATATTATAAACCATGTATATAATAAGGGAAAAAAATTGACAAAAAGTACCAGATATAAATACTTACGCTTCAACAAGTGGAATATCAGATATAGTCGAAGGAAAATTTAAAGGACGAACATTTTCATTGTTGGTAACAGTGGTAATAAGTCTTTCAAGGAAACAACCCCATGGTTTAGGTCGATTAATTACTTCTGATTGTTGTTTCTGAGAGGAATCACCTAACCGAGAGGTAACATCATTTCCAGTCAGTGGTGACTGACGCATATGCATCACCCAAACATGACGTCCGAAAGGTCCTCGAACTATCAAAATTGCTGCTGGAGCTTGTATCGGGAAATACGATCTCGGTTTAACAGTTGTTTCAAACATATTAGAAGACAATTCACACAATCCAAGAATTAAACCCGGTTCTGACCAGAAATAGCGGAATTCTAAACGATGTTTAGATGAATCAGTTTCTTCTTGTGTAATCAACTTCGAAATATTATCTTCCGCTAGCTGAGAACATATTGTAGATGTTCCAGATGGACCAGGGAATGATCCAGCCACTGACATCAATATCGACAGACATGCTTCAGCTGCATCACATACACGTTTCGATGAAGGGATTAAGGGTTTTTGACCTTTTAGGGTAGTAGTCGGTGTTTCACCTTTTATATGCTTGCTCTAATTTTTTCACAAAAAGAATAAAATAGGAGAAACAAGCTAGAGAAAATTATTTACAGGAGTAAAGAAAATGTTAAATACTTGCAGTAACTGCGCAGGTGCGAATATTTAAGCAAAAAAGTAATCACTTCCGAATAGATATTAAACAGGAGCTACAGAAAAGTTGTGACTTATAATTTTCGCACTACAGGATCTGACTGCGCTACCTCCACTTACGCAGAGAAGTTCCGAGCATGAACAACTTACTTTTCTCTTGATGGTAACGAGTAAAAATAAGATCAATAAAACAAATTACACCGATTTGGAACTCGAATTTTGTTAGACTACCATACATGTTCATATTCTAAGTGGGGACAGAACATGAACACTTAATTACACCATTCAGAGTGTAGGGCGGCTAGTGAATTATGATACTGAAAAACAAGCATTTACTTCCTTAGAATCAAATGTTTCTTCATTATTAATTTATACGCTTGAAATGACCTACTTTTCAGAGCTTACGCTTTTTTCACGAACTAGGACTTTCAAACGATACATCTCAGAGTGGGAGACAATGTTCTTAATTACATTCATGAATATTTCACGTATATGGATACAATTTTAATAGGCTCCATGTCGCTGTAATGCTAAACTAAGTGGTTAAACCGATAATTTAGATAACGATTCGAAGTTGTAGCCCATTGGCTTAGGGAGATGACTTTCAACCAGCGGGTCACTGGGTCGAATACCACTTCACCTACCGAGGTTTGGGCATCCAGGTTGTATCATCAATAGCCCTCAAACAATAGGCGTGACTCACTGCTTAATGCACAAATATCCACAAGGTTGCTGAGTGCATTTCGATGCGATTTCATAATCTTTAAGAAACTCATAGGATTGTAACTAAACACCTAATTATGGGTTTACCTAACACAATAACAATAAAGCACTTCACGTTTACTGCATATACAAAACTGACTAGGCTTTTGCTAAGAACCTTGAATCCCTCTTATCCATTAATGCAGCTCGCTTCATTGATATGAGAACAGAATTTCAGCACTGCAGTAGAATACGACTGCATTATAGTTCATTTTTATCTATATCACACAGTGAAACACGACTACTTACTGATGTTGTTTCGAGCAGAATTTATTGCTCATCATCATTTGAAGGTGATATGATATGACTAGGAACAAAATTTTACTCAAAATTCATCAGTAAATAACTCAGTTTCACAGTGTGACACAAATTTTTAAAAAAGGACTATGCTGAAAGTGTAACCCACTTTTTGCATCTGTGAAAGTTGCCCCTATAAACCAATGAGCCACAGTTCCACATCAGATATGATTACCCCTGATTGTGCCAGTTTTTAAGAAGGGTGAAAAGTCTTCCGGTTAAAATCACTGGGAAATCAGTTTGATCAACATAGTGTCTAAGATTCTAGGCTCTAAAATCACTAGACGACTGAGTGGTGCTCGGAAACAACAAGTCGAAGAAAAACAAGTCATGCTCCAGACCTGGTTGTGAGTGTGTTCACCATATATTCACACCCCACCAGGTTTTGGAACACAGGCACATTTACTGATGCCCGACACTAGCTGCATTTTTCGACCTGAAGGAGGCACTCGACTCTGTTGATTGAGAGATCTTATGGCAATGTTACTCACTGGAAGGGGTGTCGAGTAGGTATATCACTCTATTGAATGTTGTGTACGTCGAGCGCTTACCACAAATGTTCACTCTCCACAACCTGACTCAATCTTATCAAAGATGTACTTATGGAGGTCTCTCTCTTGTTGTCTGACATCACATACTGATACTATCACAAGAGAATCCTTGGTGGACTTACAGTACGCTGACAAGACGTAATCTTCTGGAAACCTTCAGTGGCAATTTGAGAATGTTTGGGATGTGAACCTTTTATCATAAAATACCTACTGCAATCATCATCAAACAAACTTCAGATAAGTAATAACGGATTAGAAAGCCAAAAATGACCATGATGAGACATAAGAATCCTCATTTAAGTAGTACGATCCATAAGTCACTAAAACTGCTGAGGATGACTGTTTCATTACACAAAAATGCTGCGCAGGATATGATAAACAAACCATTCAATAGGCATCCTGAGCAGTTGTAAAATAGAAAATTTTTTTCCTAGTACATTCCTCATAATCGGTAGATAACAAAGTGAATCGGTCTAACCTGTTTTCTTATAGGCGTAAAATATATTGAACTATTTTTCTTAAAGGCATTGGTATTGTCTGGATTGTATAGCAAAGTTCAATCAAACTACCAAAGACTTAATAATCAACCATATTTTCTCGCCAACCAACTAGCGAAATTGAATTCTGAGTTTTCGCCCCTAAATGCTCCACACGATTATCGATTCCCTTTTGTTACTCTTAAGCACTGGTCTGTTTCGATTCAGTTGGCAACTGTTTCAATGTGTTACTTGTTAATATCATTCACATAGGCTAAGAAAGAACAAAGATATTCATGAAGTGAAACGTAACTTCTGAACAACTTCAATTGAGTGAAAATGGTATTCATTCTAAGGATTGTTCTTCTCTTTACTAGGTGAAGCCTGGAAGATACGAAAAAGCAAACGATTTATGGTTTATTGATTGGTAGTCACTGTTCTTGCCTTAACTAGCTAACGTACCACAAACTCAATTGTATTCATCAACAACACTACCTCAACTTTGGTAAAGTTGTAGCGTAACAATCTATCTTCACTTTAGCAACGTAGATAAGATTGTAACGCAAAAGATTTTTTTTCTATATGAAAAATTATACATAAAGGAATGAACTAGCCTTACCTTAGATTTTGCACCACAAATTCCTAATTCAATTGTCTCTAAAATTGTCCATATACAATCTCGATCAGGCAATAACAAGTTTACATGTTGTACAATCCATGATGATAGACAATAATAAGCGGAAACAATTATACTATGCAACTGTCTTTTATGATCTTTTCTTTCTCGATTACACTGGTTTGTAATAAATTCACATATTGATCGAACAGTATGTCTGTCTTTAAACATGAAATCAAATTAAGCGGAAAAAAGTTAAGTAAAATAATGAACAGAAAATTGTGCTATATAACATAAAATCATTGAGTTTTGTAATGTTTTCCGTTAAAAAAAAGTGAAAATAAAATTTTACAAAAGGTATGCGTGACATCTTCATCTATCCATGCAATATGGGATTAAGAAAACAAATGAATAGTAGTCGATACTTAGGGTAAGACATTAAAGCCAGAGTAAAGGTACATTACTCTTTGAAATCATTATTCCAAACAAACTATGAGGTCAAATGAAGCAAGGCAGATCTGTTTATGCATGATAGAGTATTCTTATACAAAATATTGGAATGATATCATTCTCTAGGAGATAAACATCTTGATTGAAAAGATTGTAATTAGTTCGACTGATTTACGAATTGTCCAGTTGAGAAGTTGAAAACATCTTTAAGTTTCATAAAATGTTCATGTGTGCAAGTACTCCAATTGGCGAGTGGTTAAAATACTAGTATGCATAGGTAGCTGATTGACTGCTTTCAGACATGTAACTGATTGGACAAAGCCAGGAGAAAAGCAATGGTGTATGTGTGCAATGATTAGATACATTCAATAGGGAGTTATCTCAATATTTTTATTTTCGCTAGATAAATAAACGCAAAGACGTCTAATTCAAATACGCAAATGGAGAAGGAATTTTCACTGGCATTTTTTTTTGAACGGTGTTTTTATGACAGCAGAGGAATAACTAACTGAACGATAGAGATAAGTTAGAACAGAAAGAAACACATGCCAAGCATAAAAATAAGAATGAAAGCGAGATAAGCAAGAAATAATCAGTAGAAATAGGAGGGTCAGTAAAATGCTACAGTTACTACTTTTCTGAGAGTAAATAGAGACATCTTTGTTTGTTTGTTTATGCTGGCGTTTCTTTGTTTAACTGTCCTCTGAGGAACAACAGACCTAGTCAACAGATAATTCGTATCTATAAACTATAGATTACAGAACTGTGTGTGTGTGATTAATACGAAGGATTGTGGATAAGAAAATTGAAAGATTATGACGTTGATTGCCGACTAACTGGATAACAAAAAACTAAGAGCGTATTATCAAGGTCATCTCATACTTTTTAAAGATACTGGAGAGTGCTTAATTTTGCTCTCCGTCGTCCACGAAAGTCCACTGTTTGTTCCCTAAAAATGGGGAATATATATTGGTTTGATTTAAGATCGACTGTGTAGCCCATTTTCAGTTATCCTTGATGCCACCACAAAGTCTATCTGACTGTGAAAAAACGAATGTTTAAATCTTTAGTTTGCATACTTTAATTGTAAAACTTGGCAAATCTGAAAACAACAAGATATTTAATGACTGTGCGAACTGCTTTTTTCTCTCGTAACATTGCTCAAAGATAAGAGAACTACAAGACAAATACTAAATTCTATAGATATATTTCAGAGAAATAAAAAATTCCCTGAAGGTAATAAAGTTAGTCCAGACTTTTCAAGTGTAGTTCATCTCAGCGGGTTTTATCGTACACATCTTTTTCTAACTAGCTCTCGGGAAAATCGATTGATAATCCGACTATAGTAAAATGATAGTTTGTAATAAAGACAACTTTTACAAGTTACCTTTCTTGAATGCTTTTCTGTTTCGCAACCGAGATCCTAGTGACTTGGTATACATTAATTACAACTAAGTGGAAAGAATAACATCGTTAGGCAACTTTCTCCTCCTTACCAGACTTCGAAAAAGGCAGTGACGACATTCACTATCCCGATAATTTTATTTCCCGGAATCTCAGTAAGATTGTCTCATTTGTCTCCATTAACCTCATTGTTCTTCGTCTGCGATTTGGTCAGCTTCCACTAAATTTCTTAATTTTTTTTGGGATCCGGTTGGCTGATTGGATTTTCATCTGGTGGTAAATGAACGCTTTCGTTATCAAGTAATTTCTATGCAAGTTGGAAGTTTATGAAAATTTATTGATTCCAAGTTGGCATTCATTGCGAGATGATATCAGTTGTTGTATTTGGTTAATATGTTTTGTGCATCTCAGATTATTAGCTGCATCATCTTCATGACACTTTTCTGTACAATCTTTCATCCAACAAGGCAACTGATGGATAGTCTATATTTATCAATATGCGGTAAGATACTACGCCATAAATATTCGTGTAACAAGAACAGTTGTTTTTGAATAGAAGCTCTTTGATCAGAGAAGTTCCCCGATTTCCGGGTGCACAAAAGCACGTTGTTCTAAAAAGATTTTGAGATGATTGAAAATATTTGTAACTCAGAATGAGGATGATGGTGGTAACTCGATGTTCGATGAACTTCGGGGCACTATTTCGAGGTACTAGGTAGTTAGATTCCTCAAGAAAATGTTTAGTGAAGAGTTTAATTTTACTGCTTTCCATTCTCCTGGTGTGATACATTTATTCTGAAATTTTCGAATTGATGATTTGTGTACGCATAGTATTCTTCATTGCTAAATGACTAACCTTAATAAGGTGTCTGAAAGATAAACTGGCGTCGTCAAAGTAAAGGAAAGAAGAGTGTTACAGTCCACGGGGTATACATTAGAGGATGATCACATACAACCTTTACAGAAACACAAAATTTAGTTTCGATTTTTGAGGGTTCCACGTTCAGGGACTTTTCTTAGAAAGAAAACCTTCCTGACTCCTTCTTCGAAAAATAAGGTAGCTGTTTTTAAGGAATCTCATATTACTGTTACACATTGTTACAGTTAACGATGAGAAATGACACTGAAGTAACTCATGGAACAAGTTTTCTAATTGATACAGCTTAGATGGGAAATTACGTTTGGAAGGCGGGTTAAAACGATACAATATAGAGGGTGCGAGTTGGATTTACTGACTATAGGTAATATGCTACCAGATACCCTCAAAAATTTACAATTACACAGATTTGATGTAAGTTCTTTTTTCTCACCATTAAAACTCGATATTAGGGAAAAAGGGTTAACAGAATTGAAAACTATTGAGCATCCATCAATCCCCAACAGTATGGATTGACGATTCTCTAGACTTCTCAGTGAAAAACTACTTCTTCAATCAATGATCTCAGTTCCAATGACCAATATACAGTATTACTACTATAAACTACTTAGTTGAGACAAAAATGTCCCACTCCTTCTTAAACAATCTCAAACATTTAGACTAAAACTAATAACTGATACACTTTTGACAACTTACTTCAGTTGTTCATCAGGTGTGAAATCATAAAAATGGTTATTCACATAACAAACATATGTCAGCAATTTGTTACTGTGCATGGAAAAGCTTATTGACTGACTGACTGACAGATTAACACTAGTGAAACAATTTCATTCAACAGTATTGTACTACTTACAAGTAGATGGATCCGCAGGTGTAACACGTACACTAGATAGACCAGAAATAATCTCCAATAGGTAAAGCATAACAGATGGGTCATTTTTCCATTTGTATACTAGATTACCACACAGAAGTGATGTCAAAATATTGAAGAAACTTGATATTGTGTCTAAAATGCATAAGAAAAATATGTGATTCAATCAAAGAATTTTGACAACAATGAGTAAATCATCTGCGTTAGAACAAACTATCTATGACGAGTAAAAATATTTATGTGCACAGAAATCAAGGTTCCTTGGAAACAAGGCATCAAAATATTAAGTAGTAATTTTTACACTGATAATTCAAATGATTAAAAGAAATCACCTAATACGGCTACATTCATCATCTTAGAGAATCACTGAAAACCTGAGAGAACTGGACAGTTGTTTCATTATTATATGGAACCTCGCCTGGAATCAAACTTGCGATCTTCAGGTTTCATGGCGAACGCGTTGGTCATTCAGGCAATGCGTAGGAGTTCAGTGGTCCACATTTTCCTACTTCTATCAATTCGCGATACAGCGCGACTATTTACGTTGGCATCCGCTTCACTCCGGACTGGTTGACCTCATAGATTACAGTCTCATATTACAGCTTCGGTATATCCATCTAGAAGCGTGTCGCTAATGAGTACTATAGGGTAATGCAATTTGGAGTTAATGGGGATATTGTTTTCAAGGTTGTATTCACCATGAGTGGTCAATGCGTTTGCCGTGAAACCTGAAGGTCCTGAGCTCGATTCCTGGTGGTGTCAAGGGTGCAAACTGCTGAAGAGTCTCACAGTATGACCAAACAACAGTCCAGTGCTTCCAGGTTCCCAATGGTTTTCCGACTGATGTCAGTCCATGATGAATACTACCTACAGACAAATAAAATCTCCCGTAAACTTCCAACGACATTATCTAATAAATTGGCATCGAAATTTTTTGTTCAAAGCAGTTCAGTATACAAAATGAAACAAGTCTACCATCAACTACTTACTTATAGAGGGTTTTGCTTTGCATCCACAGAGAAGCGTGGACTAGTATTCTGTGAAACACCTTCGATATTACGATGGTAGTAAATGAATTGTATGTTTATATCTGCAAAAACTAACACATAGTGAAAATCTAGACAGTGAACTGTTCTACCGCATTCGAGAAGCCCAAAAGACTACAATGATTTTCAATTCAAAGATACTAAAAGCTACAAGGAGTAGAAGGATTTCCTTGTAGTAGTAACACAACATCTTCAAAGTACTTTTCATCAATAGTCAATGCCAATTGGATAACCAACGAGAACCTTGGCGGTTGTTGTTTTGTTTTGTCGCAATTTGGGACTTCACACGAGTTTGCTCCCATGACTGCTAGGAAACGGACCCAAGACCATCACATTTCACAGTGAGCACTTTATTATTCAGCCACTGGGGTTGGAATTAGGTAGTTCACCACATCTTTCATCTATCTATTTGTGATACAGCACGACTATCGGTGAGTAACTGTCTTCATTCCCGATTTGACTGACCACACAAGGCTCGGTTCCTTACAACAACTTATTGAAATTCACCTCGAAGCAAGCTGCTAATGAGCACAGTATTGTAATTTGCAGGGACTGATTGACTTGAGATTAGTTATCACCACAGATTAACATCAATTAATGAACTGTTGAAAAACCTGGGCACACTAAACAGTTATTTTGCTCGAATATGTACTTTGAAGAAGTTGAATCGCTGCTCAAGACAAAAAAAATCAATATTCAATTTGGAGGTTTGTGAGGATTTATTCACTGATTTTAGGTTGGCATCTAGGGATCAAACCCACAACCTTCAGGTCCAGTGGCCAGCACGTTACCGTTGAGTCAATGGGTCGGAATCGAATGGTGACAAGCTGGCCATGGAACTTGAGGGTACTGGGTTCGAGTCCTCGGGGGCATGGGTGCCCACCAACGAGGAGTCCCATGCTAAGACGAAACAGCTGTCTAGTTCTCCAGGGCTTTCAATGTTTCTCCAACTGATGTCAGTTCGTGATGAGTACCAACGTAGTGCCAAAAGCACTGCTTAAAAAATATTGTGAAATGAAGACGACGAAAATTTCGGTAAAAGAGGCGTGGATGCACACACACCTTAAGGGAGAAATATTAAATAAGAAACTTGCATATAAAAGATATATGTGCGAATTTGTACGCATAAACGCAAACTCCATCTTAATGAAACCTACGGAAACAGGTTTAATCAAAAACCTTCCTTAAACATTGGGACGGAAACTCCAGATCTTGAATATTTTTAGACTTCCTCAGAGTCCACCAGATTTCCAAAAATGAAGACACTGTATCTGACACTACTAAGCTGAATGAGTCCAACTTAATCAAAGTGCAGTTGCATGTTTGACAACAGGATGAATTTCCCCAGACCCTAGTTACTTCTTGCTTATTCAACCTAATCTATCTAATAGTTCTGTCAACTACAAAAATACATTGCCACAATGTCCATATTCAACTGTATCTCTTCGATTAACGTAAGTAAGTTACAACCAAACAAACTTTTGTAATAATGGAAAAGCAGACTTATTTACAGAAACCTGAACCTACTGCTAAATTGGTGCTTCTGTAAATCCATAAGCAGATGCTTTAGTGATGCGTGAAATCCAAGGATTGAGAATATGAGATTATCTAGAGTACGGTACTGCACTATTAACTTTTAGTAACTAATAAGCTCGTAAACCATGAGTCATAATGGTATCCAAGCCTATATTACACTGTTAAAGTCGCTAACTAAGCAGTGCGTTAATAATTGGGGGGAGGGGGGGAAGGGGGGGAACGGCGCAAAACTGTGTCAGTTACACCACACCTAAGTGTGGAAGATGTATGGGGTTAAGTGGAGGGATTAAGATAAACAACAATTGAAAGAATGATATGGAAAGATATGAAGAACTCGAAATATATTCAGCAAACACGTCCACGTTTATGCACTAGGCAGTGAGCTACACCACCTATTGTGTAAGGGCTAATGATACCACTTAGTTGCCCATATCTCAGTAGGTGGAGAATAGTTCAGAAAACCCGTATCCTATTGTTTAAAAGTCACCAATGACCATCAAAAGTAACCCGTACATAGAAGAAATGCTGACATAGCTAAACAACACTGCTGTGCATATGGAGATAAAGTGAAACGAATAAGAATAATACTACTCATTGATAATAAGTAATAAAAATCTTAAGCGCATAAAACAGTGCATGAACAGGAGGTAAGTCACAGAACAAAGGTAAGGGAAATGGAAAAGCGAAAAAAGATTTGACAACGATCGATAGCTCATGAACACAGAACTCAAGGCTATGCAATACTATGCAGACATTATTGTTATGATACCATTGTACCGCTGAAAAGGAATTTAACACGTCTTTCGTTCCAGTATTAAAAAAATGACCAAAAAACAAATGACTTTTGCAGCGATAACACGAAACCACAAATACACATTACAGCAAAGTTTGAGTCAATTGACATGTGATTAGATGATTAGACATTATAATCAATAAGATATATGGTTACACATAAAGGTATCACTCAGCCAGTCAAACGATTAAAATCTAAGAGAAGTAAAGAAATGTGAATGCAAGGCCCTCGGCTTATTGGCTTAGGGAGTTGGTTTTCAACCAGACAGTTATGGGTTCAGACGAAGCTGTTTTAACAGGGGTTTGGGTAACCAGGTAGTATTATCATAAGCCGTCACAAAATAGGTGTGGCTTATTGTCTACTACACGAACGTGTACAAGATTGCTGAGTTTATTTCGATTCGATTCGACTGATAACAAAGTAATTACTTATTCAAATCATAATTGATATAACACAGGTGTTTGATGAACATAAGTCATCGTTCCTTGATACTTACAGGTAATTTAGACAGATGTAACCTAAGAATCCGGTGAGTGAAGATTTTAACAAAAACCTAGGTTACCACGAGATTCATGTCAGTGGTCTACAAGTGATCTACCGGCTCAGCAAAGAAGTACAACTACTAACCAAGTCATGAATTGACTTCAGTTACCGGAATTTTCACTCACTTGTCAGGCAAATGACTGATCGCATACCAACTGATTAGTTAGTTTTTCCCTTCAACTGGAAGCATCATACCCATATACTAAGTTCAGTTTGTCAACTAGAACTAGTATAATCAACAATCAATAAGTACATATTAAAATGTACAGTAAACTAGGTAAAAGCTCTAAGAAAACAATAAGAACAACAGAAAACATTCAAATGGTTAAGAGCTAGTTTATTTCCGTTGTCATGATAACTGTGTAATTAATATGAGGTGATTCAATTGTAAAATACTGAGAATTTATCGAAATTATGGAACCGTTAGCAGATTATTTTTAGTAGACATTACAGTTGTTATCTGTTGATACCTACAACTCACCGTTGTTATACTGGAACGAAATGACTAACCTCTGATAGCACATAGGCTCCCACGCGGATGCTTCGATATTGCATGAATATTCATTGTTAAAGCTTACTTGGTGGTGGCTAGCAGTGAGGACGCGTGTTGCACAATAGGTGGCTGGTGTGCTTCATTGGTCTATTGGCGTCTGAAGCGACAAGTGGAACACTATCGATCTCTAGGGTGTGAATACATACGAGTCTCAAGCAGGACGAAGCACGCCACACCACATTTATTATCAACATTCTACCTACTTTACCAATGTTTCCCTAGTTTATGGTGAAATCGGTAAAATATGAGTCACAACTCTCTTACACATAATTTTTCTACAAACGTGTTAGAAGTAAAGCGTTCTGATCAATGGGTACAATGATCAAATACTCATATTACCCATTAAAGGTAGAAAACATAGAAAGGCTTCAGGTGTTTGACCGCCGCTGCCTTCGTATCATAGGCCGTGTTTCTTGGTGTCACCACGTGAATATCGGAGAAATTAGGTGTAGAGTTTTAGGCAGAAGAGTTTAGAGGGCTCATGGGGTTGTGAAACCTCGCCTGGTTAACTAGTTCACTAGTTACTAGCCGGTCCTAAGCCCCCGTAAAGAGGGAAGGTTGGGCATAGGGCTAGCAACCCTACCCCGTAAAACAAATCTAACCGCTAAACAAACTTCAAAGCACAAACAAAATATAAAAAATAAAATTAGTCCTTGCTGGAATC